CAGGAATGCAGGAAAATAAGTCAAAGCTTACCAGCATCCTTTTTGAAATAACAAACACCACAATCACAGTAACTGCATGTACCGTGTACACCTTGATTCCAGTTCTCTTTGCAGCTTCATCTTTTATCTTCCAGGACTTTCCTCCTGGAATGCAGTGTACGAGAGGTGCGAGTTGCTGTAGCCACTATTCTTGAAAAAACCCTCGACAGTGCCTTGCTTTATCAGGAGAAGGTCAGTGTCACCTCGTCACCAACCATCTTCTTGGTCGTCTCTACCTCATGGCTCTTGCTGCGTTTGCCAACAGCGTTGTGTGATTTGTAAATGAGCAAGTGAAAGGCTTTTGTCTTGATCACTCTTCTTGCTCTTCATTCCTCGAGTAGGTTAATGCTTGCCTTATTCCAGAAATCAGCTTAATTTTTAACTGATTCTCCTTCAGTCAGTAGCCTATGGCAGTAGTAAATGAGTTACCTTGTTCCGGAGAGAAGCCATAAGTCTGGTTAATGTTAAAGGTTTAAATTTTATGATAGAAAATCTTGGCAAGTCTGGGAGGTGCAGCTTTGTTGCATTTTGCTCGTCTTAATATTCTAGGAAAGAACGGTAGGCAATCTGTGAAAAGGAGTCATTTGTAGCATGTTTGAGATTTACCTGTGTCCCAACATGAAATAATTTATATTAAAAGAACCTAGAAGTGTTGTCGGTGTTCTGGAGTGTTCCTGTAGGTTGTCAGTGGGGCCTTGGACACTTTCAAATGTCCAAGCTTTATTTAATTCAGAATACATTTTTTATTAGTTTTTACATCAAATCTTAATATTTGGTGTGATAGAATGTGATGGGTTTTTTCTGGGATCTATCTGTCCTTTTACATCCAGTGTCATGAATGGAAGGCACTACTGTCATATAGGCTTCCATTAAAGTTTCTCATATTTAAGAAAGGGTTGTTATGAGGTCCTACGAGCTGAATACAGTAGTGAGATGAACATTTACAATATAATTTGATAATTTTGATAATTTTTGTTTGCTTCCTCTTGGCTGTTAGTTGCTATCTGTTAACTGAGATGAAATAAATACCAGTGTGTGTATCCCTGGTGTGCTTGGATGCAAACTAACCACCAACATTGTTTTTTGCGTAGCCAAGTGCAATAGCACACTAACCTGAGGTCTTCAGTGACAGTTCACTTCTAATCCGGTTTGATTTGCGTTACTGTAATGACTAGAACATTTGAGCACCACGTCAGCCTGAGGAGTAATTTGAATTGCAATAAAAATATTCCAAACTTACGTAACTGCTCAGTGTCACCTCTTTGAGCAAGTTACCTGCATGGCAATGCTTTCATTACTTGCCTGTTGAATGTATGCAGCGTTCATTCAGGAGAGTTAAAAGATTGCAGCCTTTCCACTTCTATCACTTGTTGGTACTCCTCGCAGCAAGAATGTCTGATGACACATTTGATTTTGTTAACCATACCTTAACTCCAGTATGTGAAACACTTTGGGTTTTTAAGCAGTAGACAACTCTTCACATACAAATTTTCTTCACAGTTAAAAAGTCTACATCAACTGTTGGAGGTGCTACTTGCTCTGCTGGATAAAGATGTACCTGAAAACTGTAAAAACTGTGCTCAGTACTTTTTGCTGTTCAATAACTTTGTACAGAAGGTAAGAAGCCATCAGTTTTTCATGCTATTTTAGTTTTAAAGGACAGTAGTAAAGCAGCTAGTCATCCGTATTCATAGAAGGTTTAAGCCCATTGAAATTCTTGCAGAATTTTTTTTTTTTTCTCAAATGGCTCTGAACACTAGACTAGGATAAACTCACAGAAAAGTATGCTAGCAAAGCATACCAGTTGAAATGAAAGTCATTTCCAAAGTTTGAATATTGGGTTTCTGTTTTGAAGGGGTGTTCTTAAAAAAAAAAAAAAAAAAGAAAAAAAAAAAAAAAGAAAAAAACCCATACCAAAAATCTGGATTTTTGTCCTTTAGGAAGCAGAATAACTGACTGGATTGTTCACTCCAGTATGGTCTCTCACTGTTCCCCTATTCTTCTTGTCCTGTTTCTTTTTTCCTTTCTCTCTCTCTTTCTCCCTCTCTCTCATTTCCTTTTTGCAACATGACACTTAATTTGTGTATGCTGATTCTGGTCTGTATTGTGTGCTCTATATAAAGAGACCGCTTTTCAGACGTTTGGCTTACTGATCTGTGTGACAATTTTCAATTTTTTTTAGAATGGAAAATGCAGGGTTTAGCCTGTGCATGTTTTACTTTTGTTCCTTAAAGCAGTAATTATTTACCTGCACTAGAATGTAACTTTTTATCCTTGTCTAAACAGCAGGGTATAAGGGCTAGCAGTCTTCTTCTCAGACATTCTGCTTTGAGGCACATGATCAACTTTCTCCTTGGCCCCAACCGTCAGAGTAATCAGGTAAAGTTTATGTAGCTATGTGTTGTGCTGGAGTTTGTCCATCCCAATGTTTTTTATAATGCTTAAATTATGGATAAATACTTTCCATGTGGTAGGATAGACTAATCCATTGATTATTCTGTAAGCTTCATGCAAGTCTTGGTCTGCTTGTGTAGTTTGTTGGGAAATACCTCTTCTGGCAGAAGGGAGCATCATGTTTTTGGTAAAATCGAAACTTTCACCAGCTTCAAAGTATTAGAACATGGTGTGGACTGTTAGGGACCCCTTGCTTTGTTTTGGCTTAATAGAAGTTGACTAACTAACCAAAAGTTAATTAAGTCTCTCCTTTGCTCAAGCAGAATCGGAGGTGGAGTTCAGCACAAGCACGTGAGTTTGGATATCTTCACAATACTGTAGCACTACTAGTTTTGCACTCTGACGTCTCTTCACAAAGAAATGTTGGTAAGAATTATGTTTTTGCCTTTTGATGACTTTGCTTTTCAGTTACTTTGACTGGGGGTACTTTAATAACAGTGTGGAAAATACAATAACTTTGAATTTAAGGCAATAATGTTTAGCATGCATTCGATTATTTTGCCGTAAACAGACCGAGAGGCTATGTCGAACAATATTAAAGGCACTTGGAGTGAGGGGGAATCTTGATGTTAACATTATCGTGCTTTCCCCTCTTCCTCATATGCCTGAAAAGTCTCTTCTCATGTGAGTAAATCAAGATGTGTTGTTTGTTAGCTGGAACAGACTCACAGCCTAATAGGCTGTGTTTTGCTTAGGTTTGTTTTGCCTTTTGCTAATTTGAAGGGGAGTGTTCAGACTGAGCTAATGAATAAGAAGCAATGAAATACTGTCCTGAATATTTCTTACAAGAGACTGAAATATCCCAATAAAGATAATTAAGGAAAAAGTTGCTATCTTCAGTTTCCTGAAGGAGGAATTTAAAGTTGTCTTTTTAGAAGATTTTTCTGGAGTTGGAGGCAGTCAAAATCATAAAGTAAAAGAAGAGTGATAAATGCTCTGAGTAAGTACTGATAGTAAATACGAAAATTTTGCTTTGACCTTGCAGTTTGTTTGCCTGTATTGTCACTAAAGTAAATGACACTTCAGTGTGCCAAGAGGTTGTTGCTTGGAGTGGTACCATAGGAGCTATAAGCTGGTTGAATGACTGTCATTAGGGATTACATGGTGCCAGGTGAGGAGCAATGTCTTGAAGGTGTGTAGAACAAACTAATTTATTAGTGGGTTGTTTTTTTGTATTTGCTATTATAGCTCCTGGTCTCTTTAAGCAGCGTCCACCTCTAAGCATCACCGCTTCAGGTCCACTTTTGATGCTCCATGAAGAAGTGGAAGCCTTATTGTTCCTGTCTGAGGGAAAACCCTACTTGATGGAGGTATCTGTTGTAAATCTGCCGTGTTTGGACCTGAAAGCTGGTCTAATGTGATTTCTTGGAAGAACCTTTACGTGAAAAACCCTGAATATGAGAATAAAACCAACTGGGGAGTGTGTGGTTTTTAGTTTGAGCCTAAACAAAAAGGCGCCTTTGGTTTCTTCTTGAGCCCTTCTTATTCTAGTATATTTCTAAACTTAAGACTTACTTAGGAATTGTTGTATGGCTGTGTCTGAAATTATCTGCACTTTTCCAACAGGTGATGTATGCATTGCGAGAGCTCACGGGATCTCTGTCGGTTCTCATCGAGATGGTGGTGTACTGCTGCTTCTGCAATGAGCACTTCTCCTTTACTGTGCTGCACTTCATCAAGGTAGGGAGATACACAAGATAAGTGTTTTACTTAAGTGTTTTTTCTAGGCTTTGGTCACACTGTGTCTTGTGGGTTGTAGTGGTGCTGGGATCTGCAGAACAGTCCGTACAGTTTGTTGGATTTGGGAGGGGTGTTGGTGGATTTAAAGGGGATTTAGGCTTTTACTGTTTAAACTAACACATTTTCAAAAATGTGTACAGCTGTTTTATAATACTTTGTCTCATCAACATATTTTGCTATCAAGTAACTTTGTAATCCTTACATGTAGACTCAGCTGGAAACTGCCCCACCTCATGAACTGAAAAACATATTCCAGCTACTCCATGAGATCCTGGTAGGTGAAGGCTAAAGACTTATATGGGATAGATTTTGTGTCAATGCATAATGAAAAGTCAGGACTGCATTGGTAGTTTCAGCATCCGTGTGTCTTTTAATACTTCAGTTTGGAATTTTTATTACTTTTTAAATTGTTGTTTCAATAATCTGGTGTTAATGAAACTTCACAAACCTTGTTTGTTATGTTGAAGTGGTTAAAGCCATTCTGTAGAAACTAATACAGGTATCACACACAACTTCCTTACTTTGCTCTTTTTCTTTCCTAACAGGTTATTGAAGACCCATTACAAGTAGAGCGCATCAAATTTGCCTTTGAAACTGAAAGTGGATTAATAGGCAAGTAAGCTAGTGGGTGAACACTGCTGTCTCCTACTGACCCTTACGTTGCTGATGGTTCATACCATCTCCTAGTTTCTAGCCCTTTTAAACTGTTTTACTTCTTGGGCAAAACAGCTTGATGTGCTTGATTTAGCTGCCACCACCCCAAAAAACACTCTAAGAAAATCCAAAATAAGCATTAGAATATTATAGTAACAGCAAACTGGAAAGGAATTGAACTGGAAAAAAATAATTATCTTTGACAACAGCAGTCAGTGAATCCAGAGAAGAGTGGTACCTAAGTACTTAAAAAGTGACATTAAAGAATCTTAACTAGGAGATTGGCAAGAGAGCTAACTTTTAAATAAGAAGCGGGTCAGGGTGTATACATAATGTAGGGGGGCGAGAAAGTACCTTGAGTAAACGTAAAAGAGTAGCTCTGAATCCTGTAACCTTAAGAATTTGGGTTTATTTTCTATGCATCTCAAGAAATTGCCAGTCCTTTTGTTCCAGCAGCATCCTAATTACTATAAAAAGAAATGAGTTCACCATGGAAGGATGCTACTAGTACTGATTGCAGGGTAACCTCATCATCTGACAGGTGGCTCCTCTTTGCTGCTCAGACAAAGTGTCATCTCTCCATTTGATACAGAAACGTCACTGAAGCGAAGTTACTAAAGCGTTTGAAAGCAACAGAAAAGTTCCCAGAAGTGATGAGAGCTTGCCTCATATGAATCGTTGGGGAAAGGGCTTTGTGTGCAAGAGCCGTGAGGGGTAACCACATGGTGCTTAGAGAGCACCTCTGATCAGAGTTAGTGCAGCTTGAGCATCTCTTTCAGAGCGGTTTGGATGAGGAGCTGCTTCAGGTTGTGGCTTTCACCTTAAGTTATTTTATATTCTGTTTTGCTAAGAAGAAATATTTAGTTTTGTTCTTCATTTCTCTCTTATACTTCAGTGCTCTTCCATTTAGTAGTTCCCTATTCTATCAGTTATATATGGAAGCAGCGTAAGAGAGTAGCTAAGTGGTTGTTTTATTTCTGGGTGAATTGGTCCCACTTGATCTTTTTCCTCTACAGAGGCAAGGTGCAATTATTCACTGGGATTTTTGTGTTGAAGGCTTCAAGAACAGCTGCGAGTTGCAGGAGTGGAAAGCTGTCGTTTTACCTTGGAGGTTTTTTGCAACAGCACTGAACAGCAACGAGTTTCACTGCACATGGACTGTGACCTGCCTCTCACACTGACTAGTTTTACTCCAAGAAAGGAAATCAGCAAATAATAATTTTCTGTTGTCCTCAGCAGGGTGTTTGTGCATAACTTGCCGTACACCACTGCTGTAATTTTGATCATCTGCTGTGCTTTGACAGTAGCAAAACTGGCAATTTGCAGTTCCCTAACACTTAACTTGCCAACTTCAGAGGTGTCACTACAGTGTTCTTTGCTGACTGCTATGGGCAGAGCAACTTCTGAGTAGCAAATCTAATTGTAGAAGCTCCGTGGAAATCTTTGTGCTCCTCAGTGAAAGAATTTTGTTAAAATATGGGGGAGTCTAAGGCAAGGAAAACTTTCCTGTACGAATAGCCTGGGGTTCTGCCCAAGTCTTCCAGAGACAAGTTTCATGGCTGTTCAGTTCTGCTGTGCTTGTTAGTGCGAAGAAGCTTTAAACATTCTTGTAGCTTTCCAAGTTTTGATCCAGGTGGAAGCTGGTGATCTGGTCCATTTGTGGAGGTTTTGAACACTTTTTTCCCCTTTAGATAGATGTAACCACAGAGATTATCTAACATAGAGTGGTGTATAGGGGAAAAATAACTGCATTAGGAGAGAACTGTTTAAAATTCAGGTACCGTATTTGAAAGAATTACTGCATTTTCACTTTGATCTATTTTTAATCCAATAAAGTTGTAGAAGTACTTAAAACTGCCAGCAATACAGTAGCGTGTTTAGCACATGTTCATGCTAAGTAGAATAATTTCAGCCACCTAAGTTAAAATTTCAGCTTTATCTTTGTTATGTTTCGGACTGGCTGATAAAAAGAAATCCGAGTTGTGTTTTTCAGTCTGTGTGTTTCTCCCCACAGCCTTGATGCACCACAGCAACCATGTGGACAGCAGTCGTTGTTACCAGTGTGTAAAGTTCCTTGTTACTTTGGCTCAGAAGTGAGTAATACAGTGTTTGGAGTTTAACCTTAGGCTCCTCCACAGTGACTATTTGGGCTGTTAACTCTCTCTATTTTTGACCAGTTTATCTTTTGTTACTGTGATATAAGTACTGCTCAAAGGTCTTGATAGCACATGTGCCAGTAGGAAGTGAAATCTTTCCTCATTAGTACCTGAGATTAATTTCTCGTAGGAAAAACAGTAGTTGCTGTTTTTAAAGACAAAGGTCAGCTACATCCTGTGGAGCAGGAGCCTGGCCTTAAGACCAAGATAAACATAAGGAAACTGTCCTAGGCTTTTGAAATGTTGTGTTTCCTAAATTCTGTTTGTTTCCTGGGACATAGGCCAAGTTCTGAAACACAGTTCTGAAATACGTGTGTCTGTGTAATAGACTACTTTGTGTAAACTTTACTAGGCATTATTGCCTTTGCTAATTTAATTAATAGCTGTAGAGTTAAAGTCAAGAGGTTGCAGCAATAACAATACATACAGAGGGCAGCAGCACAAAGGGAGAGAAGTCTTTGGAGTTTTTTCTAAGTTTGCCAGGATGCCTTGTTCATGTCTGATGAGTATAATTTCAATTTCCGAGGTGCCCTACTGCAAAAGATTATTTCAAGGAGAATTCCCACCACTGGAGTTGGGCTGTGCAGTGGCTACAGAAAAAGGTAATTTGACTGTAATTTGATGGATAAACTGTCGCTTTGTTTACAATGAGAATTAGGAAATCTCTGTCCTCTATATGGCCCTCTGAGATGACTCTAAAGACAAAATACAAGCTACTTTGTTTTTCACAAGGACAATTTGGATGCAGCTAAGTCTGATGCACGCAAGAACTTCAGTAGGCCCCCACGTGTTTCAGGCATGAATGCATGTACAGGGAGTAAAACCAAGTATGAATGGTCTTAATGAATATTCCTTGCCGTGTGGGAAGGCTTCAGTACTGCTGTATTCATGTTGGAAGGCTTCACTTTTTTTAAAAGCAGGTTTCCTTTGCCTGTGTGTTGATGTGAGAGAATGCATAGATGAGTGGATTCCTTACAGAGCCATTGCAGCTTTGCACAAAATGTAGCTGTTGACAGATACAGCTTTTCCTTCCCACATGTGTAGTTCTTGTTCTTCCTTCTGAACTTAAATTGCCCCTGATTTGTCTCCAGTCAAGCAGGGCCATGCCCAGTCTCCCAGCACTGCACATGCAGTTTGATGGTATCTCAGCTCCAGACTGCCTTTCTGTCCTGACAGCTGCTGCTGGGCAGATATTGGATGCATAAACTAGTCCTGTACCAAGCACTGGAAGCAGATTTAGTGGGATGTGTGCAGTGCAGCTGACACAACTTGTTGCCACTCTTCTGTCGAAACACAGCAAACTGACAGGTCTGGGTTCTGCTGCTGTACCCAGTTTTACTTCGGGCTTGCTTGTGTAAACCATGAATCCACCCACCACTCTGCAGCTGGCATCCACTAACTTGTGCGCAGCATTCCCAAGTAAAGGGAATTGGTTGCTAATTTTCAGCTGAGGGACGTACAGCCTCTCCGTTCTGGCTGTGTTAAAAGTGTTTGTTTGTGTGTGCCCCACATCTCCAGCTCATTGCCAAAGGCTTTAGAAAGCTTTCTTCCAGACTTGGTAGTTCATCTACAAGCGAATGAGGCTTTAGACACATAAAACTCATGGCAATTTTATGGCTTTTTATGCAGATGTCTGAACATTACTGGGCTCCACAGAGTAACGTATCTAACGAAACATCAACGGCAAAAACCTTCCAGCGCACTATTTCAGCACAGGTATGTGCCAGTCTTGAGAGATCATGTTAAACTTGGTTTATTTCTTTTTTTTTTTCTTTTTAGTTAGCATCTTTGGTTTTGCAACTTGAGCATATTCCAGTGCACTTAAGACTGTTCTTTTAGGAACCCAAAGCCTGTGGTTGTTCCTGAAAAGACTAACCCTTGAATGATATTAGTCAATACCTCACAATTACCTGTGGTGACTCAGTTATCTCACTACAGCAGTTGCATTGTTTCAAAATCAACTTGGAAAAAAAAAAAATGGTCCCTGACACTCTCCTGGGCTGTTTCCCACTCAGGACACGCTGGCCTATGCCACAGCCTTGCTGAATGAGAAAGATCAGTCTGGAAGCAGTAACGGGTCAGAAAGCAGTCCAGCCAACGAGAATGGAGACAGCCATCTGCAGCAGGTAACAATAAAATAAAGGCATCTTTATCTTCCGTTGCGTTGCTCTATTAGATAGCTCGTTCCTGGGCCTCGGATCAGAACCATCGCTGAATGCAGACACGATAATCGTGTGCCTTACGAAAGTAACGTGCCATCTCTTTCTCCTCCCATCCCTTGAAAGGGCTCGGAGTCTCCGATGATGATTGGTGAGCCTAAAAGTGACCTTGATGATGTTGACCCATAGAGGATGCCCACGAACACAAGAACAAGTCAACGCAAACATTTAATGCCTGGTACCTACTGAAACTGGAGTCCCATCGCTTATGCCATTAGAAGAGTCTGGCTTTATAAGATTGGAGGCAGTGCAGGAGGAGGTGGTTTCCCTGAAAGCTAAAAGCATTTTTTTTTGCCACAAAGGCTTCAGATCGATAAATGCTCTAGAAAACTGCATCTTCACCTGCAGTAACTTGTGACAGTCCAGACACCGAAAACAGTTTGTCAAGAAGTTTTTATCAAATACACAAACGCTAGTGGTTGAATTTTTATGTGAACATTAAATGAGTGAATGTAAAACTGTTGCTTTTTCTGTGATGCTGCAAAAAAATTCTCTTGGTTTTTATACAGGAAAAAGAAAAAAACAAAACAGACTGCCCTTATGTATGGAGGGCAAATTTTTAATCTTTCTGATAATATTGAATAGGAATATTCAAATTTCTGTAAAGATGCGTGATGACTTACATTTCATTGTAAAATATTAGTTAAAGAATGGGTTTACATAAGGACTTCTGTATTTAATATGTCTCCCTGCTAATTTGTAAAGCTCTTTATGAGAAGAATCAGCAAGATTGCTCTGTAAGGAGAACAACGCCTTACAGAATGCGTTGGTCAAGGAGCTCTGGAATGGGTCGTCTTTTCTGGTACCCTTCCGAAAACCACAGACAATTGGGAAGGGCAATAAAAGAAAAGGTTGTTCTCTAGGTATGCAAGTGTTCATTATTAAAGGATGTTGGTGAATTTAAAAAAAAAAAAGAAAAAAGTTAATGAGTATTTTAAAAGAAAGAAGCACTTTAAGACTGAATTCTGTTGCAGTTTTACTCATTAAATTTTTTTAACCTTCGGAGACATATTGAATAAAATGTAGTCTCAATCATGTGATCTGCAATCACTCGCTTACGCTTTGAAATTACTGAGAAAGTTGGTATTGGTTGTATATGATGAAAAATTCCTTGAATGAGTTGGAGACACTGTTGTGCAGTTTTTATAGCAATTTTAACACGGGGAAAGAATGATTTGGCTTTGTTTGTGTTTTCACTTGACCAGGCAACATTTAAAATATCACAGCTCTTTTGATTTGCTCATAAACAACTGGGAACCAGTTGGGATGGTGTGAGCACAGTTTTGTTTTCCATGTCAAGTGCAGTTCAGTGATTTCTGGCTCTGGATACAAGCTTCTTTTGTGCCAATCAGCTCTTCATCTTTTGTACATTTTGCTTTTGTCATGTTTTCTGCACTGCTTTTTGCCTTTATTTATGGATTCTGCCTTACTTTGAAAAAAAAAAAATTATATAAACAAACATGCACAGAAATGGGGGACATGTTAAGGAGTGCCTGGGTACCTCCAGAATAGATAAATTTGCCAAGTTAAAGGCACAACCAGCCAAAAAGTGCCTTTTTCTTTTCTTTTTGTTTTTTTTTTTCTTTTTACACACTGTTGCCAAAAAAAGCAGCAGCAGACAGCTTTTCACTGTTGTGCACTAATATTGAAAGTAACCAGTCATTTCACTGTTGGAAGTAAACATCCGACCTGATTTCAGCTGTACAGCTTTATAACTTATTGCGGGTTAAGAGAGCCGTTGGCATAAGTTGCGCGTGCGAAGAAGTTAAGGGTGGCGTTGTAGTGAATCTCTCGCTTTCTTTTCCAAACAATGTCTTCATAGACACATGGCAGAGTTAGCATTTTATAAATGTTTCTGATAATGTGCTGGGACATTTTAAATGTGACGTTTTAAATTAATTTTGAATAAACCATTTCTTATGGATCCCCCTTTCTCCCTTTCCCCCATCCCTAATACTTTTGTTAACGGGTCACAAATCATCCCAAGGAGTCAGTACACGGCGGTGATGGTGACAGAAGAAGCTGGTGATGTTCCGATGGGTTGGCACCACTTGTCACTTCAGGTTCCTGTTATTTCCTATGGAAACAGCGTCGTCCTCGATTACCACAAGCCCGGAGAAGCATTAATGAGAGAATTGCATCAGGATGGCTCATCACCACTGTATACTTGAAACCAATACAAACTTTTTCATGGTTCTGCTCACGCTTGTACAAAGTCAGTGGTTATAATTTGCAATAAGATGATATTTGGTCAATTATTTTTGTTTCCAGCTGCTGTCATTTGAACCTGCTGAAGATTATTTTTTGGAAAATAGAGTTCAACAAAACTAGTTTTTGTGTAAATTGTGATGCATTTCTATGTTGTAATTTTTACTGCCAATCTTTTTGGATGAAAATGTTTTTATACAGCTTACAAAATGTTCAGTGAGGAGCAGCCCCAGCCTGGCTGCGAGCATTTGGGGAGATACTGTCCAATTAATGCATAGACATTTGGCACTGGAAAAATAGGCAGTCTTGATGAACAGTCTTGGGATTCCTGGTCAATGGAATAAAGTTATTCCTTTCACAGAAAACTAGTGTAATCTTTAGACTGTGCGTACACTGCTACGCTGTTGTCTTGTTGATCCTCTTATGTTGAAACTTTTTAGGCCGGTCCTGCAGACGCTAAGCTCTGAGAGGTTGCCCTGATTGCCAGTTTGGCTCCTGTCCAGAGTAAATCGAAGCAGCTGAACGGCCCCCAGAGCCTCGCCGCTGCGTTACCGTGTGCCGTGGCACGTTCTGGTGCTGCGCTGTCAGATTCGTGTCTGTGCGGTTTCTTCTGCTGACCTCCTTAGCAGATGATTTACCCTGGCTATGCTTGCAGTTATGGATTAGACCGGCTTTTGTGCGTCAGATAGCAAGATTTGCAGATGATCTGGACCTGAATTAATGCTGCCTTTTCTCTCAGCGCGGGGTGCAGAAAGCTGGATGCGCAGCAGCGCTGTGGTGCCGGTGTTCCCCTGCTCGCCCGTCTGCTGGGAGCTACAGCCGGGGCTGCCCTCCCAGCTCTGCTTTCCTGACGGGTGCCTTTGTCCTTTGCTTTAAGGACAAGGGCTTTGACATTTAAAACATGACCCAGCCTGTGCTTTCCACTGGCAGCACCAGCCCCAGGAGCATGGACGAGGCAACGCACACGGTGCTGGCAGGACTGTCGGCAGCGTCCCGGGGATCAGCAGCGCTGCTCTCCTGAATGAGAGCAGCTTTTCCGCCTACCTGCACGCAAGATACTAAGCAAGGGCTGATCTTTTAATATTGTTTCCTTCTACCAGGCTCATGTGTGCTTGAACTAAGCCGTGAAAGCTGTTATCTGGCTTACTGTGTGTGGAACGTGCTCGCACCTTCTGCGGGGAGCCAGCAGGGAAGCAGGCAGCAGGATCTGCCCCTCCCGCAGGGACGTCGGCAGAGGTGAAATATCTGCTCCATGTTTTGGGATGTTACAGCCCAGCGAGCCTCCTGAACAGTTAGCAGCAGCGTCAAAGGCTGTTCAGGAGCTCTTGAGCTAATAACCCTTTTACTTTTCCTCCTCTATGCAAAATTCAGATTATAGCTGGTAAAATTATAGGCTGTAATTATATACATGTCATGAAATTAATTACATGTTTAGAGTAGGGTTGGGCTTTTGCCACCTTTACATAAGGAGTTAGAAGTAGTTTAAACCTTTCAAAGTGGCATTTCCTATTGGCTCACTGTCTTCTCTTGCTAATTAAAGCGGGAGTAGCGGGTCTGTAAGGGGCTTTTTGATGGGGAAAAACACCCAACCCAGAATAGCTGGAAGTTGTCAAGTTAACTTGGTGCTTGTGCTATCAAGCTTTATTTTTTCATCTGTCCTCAGGTAACACCACACAAATTATATGTTGTTGTACCAGGAGACCTATAATTGCTCAAAAAAAAATGAGAGCCAGCTCTTTGTGATGTCTGGTACTTTCAGCCTTTCTCTGCTGCTGTGCATCTCTGAGCATCTCTGAGTTATCTTCTTTCTGCAGCTTCAGTGTTTATCAAGTGAAGCCCAATGTCACTGGAAACAGCAGCAACAAGCAGGTTCCTCAAAGCTGCGTGAGGGTTTGTTTCCATAACAGCCTGACAACCACTGTTTTAAAAACAAACCTCTGTTCTTCCGTGTGCGTGGGGCAATAAGACAGCCCCTGGGCCCTGGCCCAGTCCCAGAGCTCAGGCTGACTGAGGGTGTGGGATGGGTGTCCTCTGAAGGTGCCAGCGGTCACGCAGGGTCACGGGCACCAGGGACCAGCGTGCTGGCCTGTGCTGGGCTCGTTAACGAAGTGCAGCTCATTTCAGGGAGCAGCTCCCCTGCCGGATGGGTGCCAGCTCCCCATTCCAGACTGCTTCCCCATGGGGGCTGTACATGAAGCCAGACAGTGGATCGTATCTACTGAGCACCGGTCTATGAATTTTATTTTAAAAAGGTATTTATAAAATGTTTATTTATAAAATTCCAAATAAATATTTAAGGTACAAATGTGAAAACCAAGGTACTATGAAGCTTTTTCTTCTTTTTTTTTTTTTAAAAAAAAAAAAAGGAATTGCAACGAGTTCTATGTGTCTTTGGAAGACCTGAAAGGGAAGCTGTTAAAGCAAAGCATAACGCCAACAGATCATTAACTTCAAGTTAACAACAAAAAACCCACTAACGAAGCAGTAGCTGACTGTATCAGTGCATATTAAAACCTAATTAAAGAAGCACACTGCTTAAACTACAGCCCTTACACTTAACTGGAAAGTAGTCTCCTAGGTACACGAGGAGGCAATTATAAAACTGCCCCAAAATGGCTAAACTGGGATCTTCCAGGTACTAAGCAGCACTAGACAACATCTAATGAGCAACTAACCAGGAAAGAAAGGAGCAACCCTCACCACAGGTTTGGATTTGTTGTTTTTTTTTAAAAGGTGATGGTTTTGTCATACGCTGGGTGACAACACGAATAAACAGCCTCGAGCCAGCTCATACAGTCGAGGTATTTATAGGAAGACCTGGCGTGTGGCGGGGACGGGATGAGTCCAGCGACAGGGCTTGTGGGGGCATCTCAGAGCTCTCACAGAGCCCCGCTGTGTCTTGGTCCTCCTGTGTCTGAGAGGGTGATGAGCTCGTACCCCACGATCACGGCATCCCACGCATCAGAGATTGGGATATGCTGGGAGCGGCAGCTCAGCCCAGGAGGGTACTGAGCTGGGGACGTGGGGGTCACACAAGGTACCCACCTCTGCCACGCTGGGTGTGTGGGGCCAGGGCAGGGCTGCGTCCCCAGCTCAGCTCATCCCTACTGCCGGCTCCGGCAGCAAATGGCGACAGCTGCGGCTGCGCCACTGCCCGGGACACCGGCTGCCATGCAGGTATCACCCACAGAGTAGGCTCCCACGGTGCTGGGGCTCTGGGAATGGGCGTTACAGCCTGTCAGCGTCCAGCCGTCATCACAGGACACCATCACCTAACGGGGGAGAAAAGGTCACCTTCCGTGGGTCAGCAAAGGGGCGAGGGTCTGCCTGTCCCCACTGGCACCCAGTAATGTGGCCCGTGTCACACTGAGCTGCTGGACTTCAGCTGGGAGGGGTCTCCCATCACAGGTGGGCAACTGGGGACACCAGTGAAGGCTGAGGCTGGAGCTGTGGTCACAATGAAATGCCGAAGCCAACCCGACTCGCCATTAGGGTGGCAGAGGGATGAGTAGAGTGAGGACAACACCATGGCAGAGGAATGCACGCTGTCCCTACCTTCTCAGCGAGGCCTGGGGACACGTTCTCCTTCACCCGGCACTCTAGGCTGGTGGCAGGGCAGCACACGGCGTGTGCCATCACCTCTGTCCTGCTCACACAGTGGCTGGGCCTGCTTCCCGACCCTGGTACAGGTCT